TTTCATTGAAAACCATTGTTTTATTCATGTGAGCTGAGTCTTCATCATATTCTCAGAAGCAACAAAACATCTTATGAAGCAAGTGGAGCCAAGCACTTGGTAAAATACGCCCCTGCCCGGTGTCAGGAGACGGCAGAGCTTGTTGAGGTGTCGCTTGCTGAGCAGTCCCGGCTCACCCCAGCCGCCCACCCCCCAGTTCTGGTACACATCTCTGACTTTGTATCTCTGAATTTTTAAAGCTGAAATAGAACTTGCTGATATGGAACGTAACAGTATCTAGTTAGGTGATCGCGAAGGTTTTCCTTCCTCTCACGTAGCCCTTGGTTTTTGTCGTGGTGGGAGCGGGGAACACGGAACCCCAGATTCACAGTCTGTCTCGTTCTTAAATCTGGATATCCTCTTTCTAAAGACAGACTGAGGCGGGCAGGCAGGACGAAGGGCGTGTGCAGGACCCCGCACAGCGCGGGAGCGGCGGCCCCTCTCCCTGCTGGGAATGTTCCTGCCGGTCTTTCTCGGTTTCGGCTGAACGCCAGTGGTGATCTGGGCAGCTCGTCAGCCCACCTACGAGACAGAAACAATCACGGGGACAGTTACCATGATTCCAGCCCCTGGCTGACTTCTGAACGTCTCTCTTTCCAAAAATGCAGTCGCGTGGACTCCTTCACGATTCTCCTGCGCCTTGCAGGGGCCGCTGGGTCCCCCGACTGAGGACCCTCGGTAGTAAATGGACTTGAGGGACTCTGTGAACGCATTCTGGAAATAAGTCAAAGAAAGATTTCAACAGATGTGCAGAACAATAATCACTCCCCGTGATCGGGTCTTGGAGAGACGGAGGGATTCCGGGCGCTCTCCATCCGGTGCGGGGGCACCACGCGTGGAAGGGTGGACGTGGGAGAGAACTGCTGGCCAGCAGGAGGCGGGGCGGAAGAAGCCGAGTCCGCTGGTCCCGCCTCCTGCGTTGGAGAGGGTTGTCCCGGGGCAGGGAGGCGGTCCCCCTCTGCAGAGGGTCCACAGGAGGCTCGCTGGGGCACCTGCAGGGCGCGCTGCGCAGGAGGGGGATCGAGGCCCCGGGATGGGGATTGCGGGGTGCGGTGGTTCAGGAAACGTCCGCGTTCCCAGTGCCCTCCGCTCGGTGGTCCCCAGCGTGTCCGAGGTTCTGTGAGGAGAGCCGAGTCGTGGTGTAGGGGCAGCACCGGGCTCCTGCCCGCACCTGCTTGTCGCTGGCCGTCCCGGGTGCGCCCTGCAGGACGCGCTGGCGAAGGCAAAGCGAAAGCGTCCGCACCGCCGCCGGCCTTGGGAACACGGCGCCCTGTTCGGACTTCGGAGCAGCGTTTACCTCTGCGCTCCAATCCTCGCTGAATACCCTTCATTGTGCGGGGCGCACTGAACACGTGTTGTTTCTAAAATGATCTCAGTTTCCTTATCCGACCTTCCCAGGATGCTTACGTTGGTGTTCCCGCCCCCTGCGGACCCAGCGTAGGTGAGTACACAGACCAGTCCCCCCTCCTCTTCACGACCCCCCAGCAGCACTCCTGAGTGCAGGCGCGCAGGGGCCTCTCAAACACCAGCCAGGTCCCCAACAGTTCAACTCACTCTGACCCCAGAGGTTAAGGGCACCGTCCCGCCAGACTGCCCCCTCGCTGGGTGTCAATCACAGGCAGTAGGTCCCCAGCTCTCCCGCCACTTCTGTCCCGCTCTGCGGCAAACTGGAGGTTCCTGTGACCTCCCCTTGGAGTCCCGGGTTCGCTGGCGCAGCTCCCGGAGCTCAGGGACCCACTGACTGGTTCACCTTTCCCTGTGATAGGAACGCAAGCGACAACCACAGGAAGAGGGCTGGCAAGGTCGGGTGCGTCCTGCATGCGGGGTTCCCTATCCTGTGGCCTCCAGGTGGGGGGCCTCCAGGGGTGTGGGCGAGGGTACCGACCAGGAAGGCCCAAACCCAGACTGTTGGAATTTTTATGGAGGCTTCATCGTGTGGGCGGGCACGCTCCCTCCTCAACTCTCGCTCCAGCCTCCTCCCCTGCCCAGAGGAGGGCGGTGCTGAAAGGTCCCCCACGCATCGCCCTGAGAGCCGAAGGCCCTGCTCTACCCGGACACTCGGAGCTTCGGAGCGCTGGGCCCGGAACTGGGGCAGACAAATACCCATATTGATTCCTCTACTGAGTTTTACGATAAGAGATTCAGACAAATCACAGACTACTTCTTTCTCGTACCCCAGACAATGCCGAACCATCTCTTACCTGGACACAGAACATAAAGAAACACCCTTGGCGGCCACTTTTTTATTTTCCAAACTGCCCCACCTCCACTGGCTACTTTGTGTTAGGGACGGAGAAACTGGGTGATTGAATGGAAAGGGATGATAACTCCTTAGGTCTCACACACACACACATCACACGCACTATTACAGTGGTGATAATATGTGTCTATCATTCTTCTAACTCTGAACGTGTTAATATTAAATAAATGTCACATTTAAATTTTATTTATTCTTTTGGTTGACAGATTCTAATCCCATATGCTTTTTTACTTCTGTTTCATTGTTGCATGTTATTATGAGCTGTTCTAATATGCAAAACTGACATCTTATCCTTTGTGTATTCAGACATAAAAGTCACATTTTTGATGTCAGAATACATAAGGATGTAACAAAGTAATAACTTGTCAAGTATTTAGTTTCTTTTCAAATTCCCGATTGAATTTATTTTTAAAATACTAAACAAACCCCCGCAACAGGCAGATTGGATAGATTTCTACTCCTGTGGGGGCCATGCAGGGAGGGGGGGGCGGGGGCTGGCCCCATGTTTACTTAAATGGATTTTTAAATCAAATACCTGAGCTAGGAGAAGTGTAGCAATAGATATAATACAAGACTGGATCATCTCCTTGTCAAATTTCAAATCTATTTCAATATTTACTATACTTGCTATTCATATATATATATACACAATTTAATTTAATTTCTGTTTTACAATTTTACCTTATGAACATTTTCATATATACACAAAACTAGAGGGTAGAGAATAATTGATTTATATGTTTTATACCAAAGCCTTTGTATTGCTGTATTTCTTTTCTTTTAAGTAAATACAATTCGGTTTGTTTAAAGGGAAATGAATTCTTAAACACACGAAAGGTTTTTGGAGAGCAAATATTTATCTTGAAGAACTGTATTTGATTTAAAAAAAAAAAAAAAGTATTAGGTCCTCACAGGGCAGTTAATTTTCTTTTAAAGTGAGTGTAAGGTTACTGGGGAGAGTTTTCAGATACATTTAAAATCTGTTTTGTAGATATTTAAATTAAACATTTTTTTAAATTTATTTTAGAGAGAGAGGAAGTGAGAGGAGAGAAGGAAACATCGACGAGAGAGAACATCAGTTGGCCGCCTCCTGCACGCCCCCCACTGGGGATCAGGCTCACAACCTGGGCATGTACCCTGACTGGGAATCGAACCGGTGACCTCTTGGTGCAGGGTCGATGCTCAACCACTGAGCCACACCGGTTGGATGATATTTACATTATTTACATTGTGGATTTTTGAGTTGTTTAAAAAAAAAATTTTTTTTCAAAAATCTAAGACATAAACAAATGGTATTTCAATTTTATTTAAATTGCTAACTAGGAAATATGTATCTCAGGACATAAAAATATGAAATGGAAATAGTGACATATTATCATGTTGAATCATTTGATCTAATCATCTTCTAAGTACTAATAAACATGAATTACCCAGATTCCTCAAAGTGAAAAAGTAAAATGCAGGAACAACTCATTTACGATGAGATGAACTGTCCGACCCTCATAGAACACGCTGATGTGTGTGTCTCCCGCTGACATGTCACGGACACGCCTCGGGAGAACCATGGGCAGAAGACAGGCGTGCTGGTTGCTTCCTAGTCTGGCGAAGCAGGAAATGGAAGATGCCGCACATCTAACACCACTGCGAGAGGAATGAAGAAACATTGTATCGAGCGCGGTGCACTCAACATCAGTCACGCGTACAAAGTAAAGACGTCTCATCCTAACGGAAAAGGATGTCCCTCTGCGGGGAAGCCGTTTGGGAAAGATGAGATGTAATGGTCTCTGCATCCTTCTCCTTTTCTGAGCTAAGTGATAGGGCAGTAGGACGCTTGGCTGTTGGATGAAAGTGAATAGTGGGAAACTCAGTTTTAGTTCTGACTCTAGGAGCGGGAGCTTCGAGAAAAACAGGCCACGGCTGCCTGCTCCTCCAGGCTGCCCTCCGGGTTTCACCAGGGTGCTTCTTCCTCCCGTAGCTTCTCTCTCTCTGCTTCGGGAGAAGAAGTCCGGTCTGTTTCGGCTGTTGTTCGGAGCGGGGCGAGGGCTCCCTGCGACTTCAAAAAAGGGTGTTACTGGGGGGAACCTGTAGGTACTGAGTATGTCAGCTGGGCTCTCGAGATGTCAGCGGGTTTCACTGCCGAGCCCCGGCGGACACCCGACTCCTGACTCCGTGAGCGAATATTTGTGTACGTATATATTATACAAGTATGTGAATATTTGTATATGTATATACAATCTACTTATACAAAAATATACACAAAAATCCAAGAGGATTCTCTTTCCTTGAGAACATGACGAAAATCGACTATATTCTAAGTGGTGAAATCTAGACCAAACATCGGGCTGTTAATGTTGTAGCTCATGAGCCGCACTGACACTGTCTGACAGGTGTGTTCCCGGTGCATCAGCCCATATGCACATGTGTGTTTCCGGTGTCTCAGCCCCTGCGTTCTGCCCTCTTCCAGGTGATGGTGGAGGGCTCTGCTGCGCTCTCCGGCGGCGGGCAGATTCCCACGCTGCAGCCCCCGGCGCCCGGGCCGCCGCCTCCCAGCTGGACTCGCCGTGAGCCGTCCTGACACCTCACATGGTTTGCGATGGTTACATGAACCGGCGGGAAGTGGTACCCCCACCATCTCGTACTGTGTCCCCTATGGCGCTTTAGGGAAAGACACTGGGAGACGCCCCAACCCAGGGCCGTGAACATGAATCTCACCCTGAAGCTGCGGCGGAGTTTCCGGACGCTCACTGTGCTCCTCGCCACCTTCTGCTTGGCCAGCATCCTCCTCTCTGCCTACTTCCTCTACTCGGGCTACAAGCAGGAGGTGACGCTCATGGAGACCACGGCCAGGGCGGAATGTGCCGACGTCAAGATGCTGCCCTACCGCTCCCTGGGGCTGAAGACAGCCAGGCCCATCGCGCCGTCGCGCACCGACCCCACGGTGCTCCTGTTCGTGGAGAGTCAGTACTCCCAGCTCGGCCAGGACATCGTCGCCATCCTGGAGTCCAGCCGCTTCCGCCACCACATGGCCATCGCGCCCGGGAAGGGGGACATCCCTCCCCTCACCGACAACGGCAGGGGGAAGTACATCCTCGTCATTTACGAGAATATCCTCAAGTACGTCGGCATGGACTCCTGGAACCGCGAGCTCCTGGAGAAATACTGCGTGGAGTACGGCGTGAGCATCATCGGCTTCCACAAGGCCAACGAGAACAGCGCGCCCAGCACGCCGCTGCGGGGCCTCCCGCTGAGCCTCCTGAACAACCTGGCCCTGAAGGACTGCTTCGTGAACCCCCAGGCCCCCCTGCTGCACATCACCAAGGCGCCCCGCGTGCAGCAGGGCCCGCTGCCGGGCGAGGACTGGACGGCCTTCCAGTCCAACCACTCCACCTTCCAGCCCGTGCTGCTGAGCACCCTGCAGGGGGGCCAGGGCGCCCCCGCCTCGCCCCACGGAACCCTCTACGCCACGGTCGTCCAGGACCTGGGGCTGCACGACGGGATCCAGCGGGTTCTTTTCGGCAACAACTTGAACTTCTGGCTGCACAAGCTCATCTTCGTGGACGCCGTGTCCTTCCTGTCCGGGAGGAGGCTGGCCCTGTCCCTGGACAGGTACATCCTCGTGGACATCGACGACATCTTCGTGGGCAAGGAGGGCACGCGGATGAACGGCAGGGATGTGAAGGTAAGGGTCTGCACGTGACGTCCCCTTTCACTTCACTTGCTCGGTGGTGTGGACGAAGGGCAGGGCCGCTGGTCTAGGTTCCTCCCGACCCCAAACGTTAGAGGCAGGAAATGTGGTGAAACAGTCATTAAAAAGATCTCGAACGGAGGTGTAACTGTCCCTCGCACACCCCTGCGGCCTGTGGGGACAACGAACCCGCCCGGCAGCTCTTCCAGCCTCACCCCCCTCCCTGCATGGGCTCAGCGGCCACGCGTGCCAGAACCAGAACCGGAACCGCCGCACGGCCCTCCTCCAGCGCAGCCCGCCCTGTGCCTAGACCGTGTGTCCCAGGCGGGTCCCGCCCTGCGGGTCTGGCAGTGGTGCGGAAATGCGAGCTGGAGAAAGAGCCCGGCCTGCCACGCCTCGGGAGGCCGTGTCCGCGGCTGTGAGGGGCTCGTGCGCAAGGTGTGCAGCCCACAGAGCGGGTTTCGTGTGTGTGCCTGGTCGGAGCTCAGCAAGCTTCCGGCAGGGTCAGGAATGGGTCCCGTTGCGGTGGCCTCTCGGTCACCATCAGACTGACGCGACACATGCACCTGTGACTGCTGTCCGAGCAGAAGCCGCAGGTGTGTCGCTGGCTTGGCCGGCAGTTCCGAGAATAACTCCCCTTTTGCACCATGACTCGGCGTTCTCCTGTGCCTCTGGTCCCATCCGTGACTAAGTCCATCCTGGGGACAAACCGTTTTAGCAGAGATAGGAATGAAAGGGACAGGACACACCCCGCAGTCATACTGGGACCAAGAGCTGCTAAGATCGTGCCCTGTCTTCCTGTGAGTAGGAGTGTCCTCCAAAGACGAACCCTCGAAGCCAATTCGAAATACCGGCTCTCCTGTGGCCGAGCCCTGTATCTCCCCCACGATAAAGCATGATTCAAACCAGTCAAATGAGTTCACCTTTTAAAAATCTTCAAGTCACATGTGAGCCAGTGGCCCCTGTTCTGCCTGGGCCCTGAATGAACCCTCGCTCGCTGGGACCCAGACATTTCAGCTCGGGCCCTGCTGTGGGGGGTCAGTGACCTCCCCACCCCGTGAGTTCTATCTGGATTTTTCTGGTTTTCTCCTTGTTTTTTTTGTATTTATTCATTTTAATTAGTTTAAACTCTAGTATTAGTTTCATTTCAAAATCATACACTTAGGAAGAAGCCTCCCCAGGTCCCCTGAGTGGTTTCTGGAACTCGACAGGGGGCCGGTCCCAGCCTGGCGCCCCGCGGGGTGGACGCCCTCTCTCCCTCGGGCCGCACCGTCCGCTCAGATGCAGCTGCTCCGTCGCTCCGGGTGGAAACAAACACTGCTCAGCACTGCTCACGGGCGAAGGCCGGCGGTGACTCCGGGGCGTGGCCTCCAGCAGCTTGAAGCAGGGCTGGGCTCGAACACGGGCTGGGGCACGTCCCAGGTGGAGAGAGCCGGAGAGGCTGTGAGCATGGAAGTGTGTCTGTGTGTGTGGGGGGGGGTGTGACAGTGTGTGTGAGTGTGCGAGTGGGAGTGTGTCAGTGTGCGTGTGGGGGGGGTGTGAGTGTGTCTGTGTGGTTGTGTGTGAGTGGGAGTGTGTGTGTCAGTGTGTGTGAGAGTGTGTCTGTGTGCGTGTGGGGGGGTGTGAGTGTGTGTGCGCGCGAGTGTGTGTGCGTGTGGGTGTGTGTGAGAGTGTGTGTGAGTGTGCGAGTGGAAGTGTGTCTGTGTGCGTGTGTGTGGGTGTGACAGTGTGTGTGGGTGTGAGTGTGGGTGTGTGTGACAGTGTGTGCAAGTGTGCGAGTGGGAGTGTGTCTGTGTGCGTGTGTGTGAGAGTGTGTGTGTCAGTGTGTGTGAGAGTGTGTCTGTATGTGTATGGGTGTCCATGAGTGTGTGAGAGTGTGTGTGCATGCGTGTCTGTGTGTGTGAGAGTGTGTCTGTGTGCGTGTGGGTGTCTGAGTGTGTGTGTGCATGTGGATATTAATTATTACTCTACACACACACACTTGGAAGAAAACGCTCCTTCTGCCCTCTTCCTGGTGGGTTTGGTCCCCAGAACCGTGATGTGTGGGGCTCGGGGCCGTGGCCCTCGGGTCACTTGCAGATCAGTCAGACTGTCCAGCTTTCAGAGTAAAACCCTCGTCCCAGGCTCGGCCTCTGACTTCTAGTTCGAGTCTATTGTTTGGATAACTGTGATCTGTGGGCAAGAACCTGGGCTCGTGTGTAGAAAGTTCTGGATACTCTGTGTTCTTCTTCCTCACATTCCCTCTGCGGAGTGGAGCGTGTCACCTCCGCCCATGGTGAGGAGAGCCAGCCACCTCCCTTCCAAATCGCACTCGCTGGAACACTTCCATCTAGTGAACTAATCAGCGCGATCTAGTTCCTCGCCAAGTCCCGCCCTCCCCTCGCCCGCATGTCACCCTTGGGGCAGAGGGCCTGGCGGCTGGAGGCCGGGCTGTCTTCCTGGCGCAGGCAGGACGCAGTGTGCACCATGACGGATCCCTGTGCGCGGGACGCGGGGACAGAGGACAGCGACCCAGTTTCTTCTGGGAGTTGGGGCGACTCCATGGAGAAGGCGGGGTTGGAGCCCTCAGGGCTGGTGAGACCGGCACCAGCAAACCAGGACGGGGACATGTGTCCTCGGGCAGAGGGCCAGGCCACGCTGAGATCTGGCTGGAAATACCAGGACAGCTGGGGAGTGCTGTGCTGGTTGGATGATAAAGAAAATAAGAAGCAACCGACCGGTGTGGCTCAGTGGACTGAATGTCAAACCAGGCACTGAGGGGCTGGTTTGATTCCCGGGCAGGGCACGTGCCGGGGTTTCGGGCTCGATCCCCAGTAGGGGGCGTGCAGGAGGCAGCCGATGCGTGTTTCTCTCTGCCATCGAAGTTTCTGTCTCCCTCTCCCTTCCTCTCTCTCTAAAACTCATTAAAAACATACTTTTAAAGAAGAAACAGTAGTGGTACGAAATGCTGAAGGTGTTGGTTGTGGGCAGGAAGCCATCGTGCACTGAAAGTTTTAAGCCCAAATGGATGTGACTGCAGCTGGGGGTGGAGAAAGGTACATTGTCTGAATGGGGAGACGTTTCTGAGAAGTCCTGTTACAGAACCTGCTACAAGATAGGCATAAGAATTACTGTGTGTTTTCCTCAGTAGTGTTTCTTTAGCTTATTAATACACACTAGCGCTGTGCTAACCACCAGCAGGTAATATATCATTTCACCGTCATGACAACCCTAATGGGAAATATTTACATTTTCTGAGTGGGTACATGGGGCGGAGCGACTTGAAGATAGTGTCTAGCTCGTCAGTGACAGGGCAGACCACTCCCAGACCGTCTGTGTCAAATGTCTAAAGTTTCTTCTCGAAAACAAAGGCTGGGATCTGGGTTTGGGTGTCGGCCCCGTTCTCGCTAGTTAACCTTGGACGTGTGTCAGCCTTTCCGGTTCTCAGACTGTAAACCTGCAACAGCGGTGCGAGCAGCCAAATCCTAGCACAGTGGGGTCCTGGGTGAGAGTCGGGAACTGGAAGGACAGGCTGCTGGGTTGACGCCGATGAGCTGGGGGACAGCCAGCATGCAAGGGCGATCGGGGGAGTCGGGGCAGGAGCCAAGGGAAGCAGGTGGCGTGCGGGGGGCCGTGCTCCTAGCCTGGGGGGAGGTGCGGGCAGGAGGAGGGGCCTGGCCTTGGGTCCGAAGAGTTAACATGAGACACCCAGACCAGACGCAGCCTTTGGAGAAGTGATTTGCATTTCCAGACACCCCCAGAGCTGGCCGCTGGGTTACAAATCATCAAGCTTCAGACTCGTGATCTCCGCGGTGACCGCTACGGGGAACGAATCAAGGAAGAAGAAAGCAGGTTGGAGGCACCGTTTTGGATAACCCCAAGGTCACGACAAGCGGGATTCCCACAGGGGGAGCCTGCCTCGTGTCCCGAGGGTGCAGGCACCCGGCAGCCTCTCCTTGGCCGTGGGGAGGGCGTGAGGAAGGCCCAGCTGAGCACGGCCCTGTGGCCTGGAACAGAGGCTCAGTCATTCGTCTGGATTTGGGCTTCAAGTTCCTTCCTCCTTGTTTATGACGCCTGCTCACAGGAGTCACAGTGGGGCCGCCGACGTGACTGTGAAGCCACCGAGACTCTGCACAAACACGCCCGAAACGGGGACAGATGTATAGGAGTTGAACGTCTCGGGAGAACCAGGAGCTCCGTCCTCAGCGTTCAGTTGTTAGATCCCACTGAGAGGATTTTGTTGTGATGTGGTTATTTTCTTGATGAGTGTCCGTTGACAACATGTCTACTTTTTGTTAGAAAAGGGGGTTTTAGAGGCCTGCCTGTGTTCTGGGTATCCGCCGGTTACTTGTTTTAAAGGCTTCACTTAAGCGGGACCTGTCACCAACAGCGGATCTGCTCAGGTCGGTTCTACAGCTTTTTATGGAGAAACTGGATTTCAGTTTAAGAACAGAGAGTCCTCTTTGAGACGACATGGAGGGACCTGGAGAGCATTGTGCTCAGCGACACAAGCCAAGCAGAGAAAGACAAATATCACATGATCTCACTTATTTGTGGAATATAATGAACTAAACGAACTGCTGAACAAAATTGACCCAGAGACATGGAGGTGGGGTACAGGCTGAGAAGCCTCAGAGGAGGGGGGGGTTTGTGGGGGAAGAGATAAGGCACAGAACTTACATGCATGTGTGCATGACCAGTGAACATAGACAACAAAGCCGGGGATGGGGTGGGGGGGAGGGGAGGAGGGTGTCAATGGGGGGAAAATGAGAAACATCTGTAACAAGCAAATTAATAAATAAAAAATTAAGGGAAAAAAAAAAAAAGAACAGAGTCCTGCCCAGCCAGTGTGGCTCAGTGGATGGAGCGTTGTCCCATGGCCTGAGAGGTCCTGGTTCAATTCCTGGTCAGGGCACATGCCCGGGTTGTGGGCTCGATCCCCAGTAGGGGGCGTGCAGGACGCAGTGATGGATGTTTCTCACGTCAATATTTCTATCTCTCCCTTCCTCTCTCTC